GGCCGGCCTACATATCAACAAATTTAGTTTGAAGATATATATATACTTTTTCATCATCCTGTTTGTTCCTCTTGCTTACAAGCATATGCTATAAGCTGTTCACTGATTTATTGGGGTTGCAAAAATGACATCGTCAATAAATTTTGCTTGATCAAGTTTTAGATGTTAATTTAGACCTTAGAGTTTCGATTTTCATAAACAGGACAAAAAATGGTCAAGTAAACAAGCAAACAAAAAACGAATAATCCAACAACAACAACAAACACATCAGAAAATCTAAATGCTAGCTTATTTAAGAATATTTATCAAGAAAAAAAAAAGCATTTTCTTGGTAATCTAGCAGTCCCAATAATAGCTGCAATAGTTTATCCACGGATATAATGATGAACTTTCGAAATGAAGCTCAGTGCCGCATCATTCCCCTACTGTAATCATTGCTTGGGGATTTGGGGAATTGCGGCTGATTTGAAAATTTGTCTCCATCTTGGTTGGGCAAATGATTGCCCACTGGGAGAAAATTACTTATCGCATAGGGGAGGCATCATTCGATATTTGTCCTTACTGATATAACCCGAAAATTTCATCCAGCAATGAGATTGGAAATAAAACGTCTCATAACTAAACTAACTTTGCATTCTGAAAGTAAGCAAACTAGTCAGCTTGATTATCCGAATTAGTGTGCATGTCAAATGGCCATTTTGTGGGGTCAAATCTTCGTTACTAAATTGAAGTTGTTGGAGTGACATAAAAAATGGCAATTCAAATCTTTGCATAGTTTGAATTTGTGCCGTTTCACACAGCTTATCACTTTATAAAATCTCTACATGATGAAGAGCAACTTCATCGAAAATTCGAAAAACAATTTGTTTTGATGAGGTCAACACTACCAGAGTGAGCATTGGGTTGGGCCAAGAACCGATGAAGTAGGAAGGGCGGGGGCAGAGGTGGGGACGGGTATAAAAGTTGCCTACCCTGAAGTATCATAAGCCAACTTTACAGGTACCATCCAGGCCGAAATACCGCCATTCTCATTCACCTTTTCACTTTGCATTTCTCCATTTTATTTTGAATTTTCCCATAAAAGGACACAAATTCCACGCCTGTATATTTATATTTAATACAGTGTCACAAATTGTTATAGAGTCATTTGAAGTATGGCGTAAAATAGTGCGAGAAGGGAGCGGTTGATTGGTTGGAAACGACGCCCGCGACTCCACCCCCAAATTTGCACTCGCTATCCCGAACGAAAGTGAAGTATGGAGAGAGGGGAGAGGGAGGAAGAGGGGAGGGTCCCTCTATACCAACCCACCTTCCGCCTCACACTTTGATAGAACAATGCGGAGGGAGAGGGAAGAAGGAAGCTTCCGCTCATCACCGCCGAATTCGACTAGTTGTAAAGATGGAATCGATGGGACGGATGTGCCAATAGATGGATGGATGGATAGGATGCTTAAGTATTCCGTCAATTCCGGGTCAACTGCGAGTGAACCCGGAACAATCCCGTAAAAGCCACCTTTGTGAGCTGTGACAATCTAAGCTAGCAATAGATAAAATTCGCTTTTCAGTGATATAAGTGTCATCTTGTTATCGGGTTGATGACAATGGTGATAATGATGATTGTTACGATAAGAACGATTATGTTGGTGATAATGATGATGGTGGTTTATACGTGTTCGATCTAAAATTGATAATGACCTTCTAAGAACCATCATCAGCGGGGAAAGTCAATTGACTTTTAATGTTATTTGCCATCTGGGAAAAAGTTTTTATCATAATTGATCAAATAGTGACGGCGAATATCATGTTATCATCGCAAACAGAATTTGCTCTAGATATGCGTTGATATGGGAGGCTTAACTGAAGTTACAAGAAGACTAGGGTGTAAACTGATCTGATAATTCTTGATATTCTAAAAAATTATCCGTTGTATCTACACACAATACCTGATAATCCTAAATCTTTCAATCATAATTATGTTTACCTCGACATGTCGCGTGTGCTACCACTTATATAATCATTGCAACACTATAATGGTAATATCCTTCCAGACACCTGATAACAGTTCGACAACAGAACACGACACCACAACAGAAACCGAATCCAGTAGGAATACATGTAGGATCGCATTAAAATAAGAAACTTGGAATCAATTTCAGGAATATAACTTCGAAAAGTAACTGATACCTAAAAAGCAGCTGAAAATGTTTGGTTCGGGATGAACATAACAGCACCATCATGGCGCCTCACCACAATATATATGTTTTTCTCGAAAATATACCCAAATTTATGCACCATCCGCACAAGCACTTCTCATTCAACGGTCATCGGGATATTTGTCTCTCTGTCCGTTCGTCTGTCTGTCTACTTGTTCGTCTGCCCATTTGTCTGTTTGTTGATTATTCATATTGTTATCAATGAATTGCTGGTGCTGTAAGTGATGTTCATAATTTTTTGCTCATCAAACATACCTTGACATTTTGTTCTCTTGGAATTAAAATAATGTCATTTAATTTGAAACGTAGAATTAGATTGGAAATTGGATCACAGTGAAATTTGGAAAGAAGTAAAATAGGTTTTTATCTATTCCGCCTCCTTTTTTCTGAATGCTTTACATTAGTTTTGAATGGACAGTAATTTTGGACAATCATTTCAATTTCTGCAGAAAAAATCGGAGTCTTCATGTTTCACAGAACTCTAAACGTTGTGGTCATTTTTCATTCTTTCCAAGTTTTCGCTTTTTTTAAACTGTGGAAGCTTTACAACCCTTAAATACTATTGAGCTAATCATTAATATAGTACCATATTTTGAAACAATGATAGATTGAATTTTAATAATAGCGATTATAGTTGTTGAATTTTATAAATATTCTGTCCTTACATTACACAACTTTTTTGAAGATATCAAGCGTTGATGAACATCTCTCTGAAAATTCAGCATTATAAAAAAAACTCATATTTTAGAGGATTTCGAGTTATTAGAACATCAAGCTGGAACAAGGCAAGGTCAAATAATAGTGTGTTTTTCTTCTGTGGAAATGGAGTATAAATTCCAACCAAATGATGTTGGTCATCCTGGAGACTTGTATCAACCTATTCAATCAATCCAGGAAGCGATTATTGATGCTGATCAAAATGTCCCGGTTACTGATCTCAGCGTATTGCAAATGAGTGGTAACACTCAGAATCAGGATGCTGATAATCCCGCACAAAACGACGATTCTGTAGGCTTTAAGTGAATTTCATTTAATTTTGAGTCTAGAGAATGAAAATTGGAATTTGCATAATTTCATCGCACCTGTTTTTTTCTGGTATGAACAAGAGTTAGTTTTTATTTGTTAATTTTTAGTTTGGAAGAATATAAAAGGTTGAAGTGCTTTAAATTATTTTTCGAATAGAATTTTGTCGATTTACCTTATAAATTAAACAAAGTTTACCGATTGCTTTTATGAATTAAACAAGCAATTATGTTCACAGGTGTTCTCACCGATTAAACCCTCCACATTTTATTCGAATCCAACACAAAATGGCCAATTATACTACCAAGGAACGCCGAAAATGCCAGATAGTTACGGTATGCAAAATTTTCAAAACATTTCACAGGATCTTTTAAAATTTAAATTCTTATCCGTTTGTTATTAAACTTTGCCCAGTCTTTAGGTACAGGAGGTCAATTTTACCCAAGTCTTTTTTTTCAAACGTGGCCTTACTCAAGTGCAACAGCTAATTCATCAGTTGCTGCCACAATTGCTGGGGCGTCACCTTGCTCCTCCAATGCTACTGAACTAAGCTTCGCGCAACCAACCACTGTTATCACAGATCCTACTCAAATGCTTGTTGGTTCGTATTCATATTTAAAATTCATGTTAAAAAACTTTCACGTTTATCAGTTTCCTTTCCTTAAAAAAGTTAAACCAATTATTTAAAGTAAGGCAAACAATGAAATCCGGAATTTAGCAAATTTCAACTGAAAATAGGAAAATCCGCGGTGATTTTTATAAACATATCTAATACTTTCCAGCGCCAAATCAGACAACAACACAAAATTTTTTTCCCCAAACATACCAAGCTTATTCAACGACGGATTACTATAACCCACTGCACAGTGCAAATTTACTAGCAGCACAAAGTCGTTTAACAGCTCCTACAGTGGCATGTTCATCGTCCGGTTCTGCTTCATCCAGGTCATCCACCTGTGTTTCCGGCGCCCCTCGTTCCAAAACCAGAAACTTTACATGTAAGCACTTTAGCGCAATTATCTTGGCTTCGTAAACATGAAACGGGAATAGTCAAGAAAGTTTTATTCCTTATAATTTGACTGCACTTTTCAAAAAACGTAGTACTTTCATGATTGGTTACTGACTAAATTAATGATGATTTAGAGTAGCAAAAAATTTATCAGTTTCCCGAAAATGTTGTTCATCCTTACTGAAAGTCCTGGAATGAGATTTTTGTTTGAGATGTGTAGTATTCAGAAGAAAATAGGGTATTAATGCAGGTTCAGACCTATTATCTAGTAAATGTTGGAAACGTGTCATCATTCATATTGTCTATGATCATCTCAACTTACTCATCGTCGTCATCTATTATAATTACTGCTCATGTATTTTGCAGCAGAAGGACGGGAATGTGTCAACTGTGGCGCCGTACAGACCCCACTGTGGCGAAGAGATGGTACTGGTCATTACTTATGCAATGCTTGCGGACTGTATCATAAAATGAATGGACAAAATCGTCCATTGGTCAAGCCCAAGAAAAGACAGGTAATGTAATGTAATTTTACGCCTCTCTTTTGTTTATATAAGATTCCAAACAAGTTATGCAAAAATTTTTTATTATAAATGACATGTCCATCTCACTGTCTGCATCTCCATTTTCCTACTCTTCCGTTAACTTAATTCATTTAATGAGTGTTTTGAGTTTTATCGGTTCTTAATAAGTCAGCCTTCTCTTGGAAACTTAATCTGTAGTCTCCTGATTGAACATGGCACAACGGTGTCATGATGTTGATAATCCGATAAAAGTACAGTATCAAAAAAAGGAATAAAATGAGCAAAATAATAATTTAAAATTGTTATGCTTCGCACCTAACAATTATCGCAACTTAGTTTTTTGTCGGCTGCGATATCAGGCGTTCTTATCAGCCAAACATATATTAATATATCATCGTATCGCTGTGATAAATCTTTGATATATTAGGAGTAATGACAATGACAATAACCGATAGCAATCATTTAACTGATTGCTATTAATTTACTTGATGAGCCAATCTATCTTGTTTTTATATGATTTAATTAATACTTATTTTCTTCAACAGCTTTCAAAGTAGCTCATCAATAAGCATAATAATTCAAAGTTCCAGAATTTGAATCCTTAGCGTAGAAGATGTGGGTGTTCCTTAAATATATGCGTTTCTAACAGAAAATATTTGAAGAAAAGCAACATTTTCGACGTAGCAACTATAAATAAGGCTACGGTAGTACGCCATGCGGAAACCGGTTCTTCACTCATTCTCTCACCTTTTTATTAAAAAATTTTTCATTTCATCCAATTTCACATCATTTTTCATTGAAGGACAATAATTCCAGTTCAAATGATTAATAACTATAAAAAATTATGCAAATTATAAGTTCGAGAAATCAATAATATAAAATTTCACACACTAAGAAAATAGGTATCGAGTATAGAATTATTACAGCATGACAATACACTTTTACTTGCCTCAACGATGCTTATTATTCCTGCTAGTGTGAATAAATTTCTCTTAGCTCTCAAATGCCGTATCCTTTTTCATGGAAATCGTAATCATGTATTCAAATTTAGCATTTTGCAATTTCACCTGAAGTTCTAAATTTTGGTAAAAGTTACAGCGGACTATTCACAACTCTAACTATAATGTGATGATAATAAAATGAATGACTTGTCAAAAAAAGGCAGGCGAAATGGTTAATTGAAAAAACGAAAAGACTAAAGTAGATTTAAGCAAGGGAAAGGGGGAAATGGAAGGTCATTTTTTATTGAATCTGTCAATCAGATCCTTAGAAGTCCACTCTAAAAGCCATCCAGTGGTCACTCGTTAACTTAAAACTACTCTGTCTGCCTGTCTAATGTGAGATTAAACGTTTGTCAAATTGTCCTACTGTCATCTAATAACACAATACATTGACACTGATAACAGCAACAGCTAGTACAAAAAATAATCTATATGTTGATTCGTGTTACATTGCCATCATCAATGCAACACATTTCGGGGATCGAATGGTGATTCACTTTGATAAAAACTCAGTTACAGTTGAATCATATCCTATTTATATCTTCACCGTCACTTTATCACATTTCAATCTTTTTCTTCCCTGAAAATTCTAGATAACTTGCACAAATCAGTATATTTATTTTGTTATTTTCTCTCTGATCCTGCTGTCATTTTGGTCGAGAATAAGACAAGCACTATTTAAGTATTGATTGGCTTCAATAACCATTTACCAACATTTGGAATTATGGGAGAAAGA